CGTTCATCCCTGCATAAACTACATTAGGCATATCACCTGTACAGATTTCTTGATCAGTGGCCGTTCCATCAATGAAACGTACAAAGACGTTCGCATCATTAACACAATAATTAATATTTTTAATCCTACTTAAAATGATAATTTAAACAGATATAAATATAAACAATAAAATGCTTTCTTTGTTTGTTGTTACTGGAATGAACGGTCGCAGCTATTGCAGAAAAAATTTACATAACCCGCTTACGCGGGTTATGTATTTTTTCTGCAACAGCTGCGACCGTTCATTCCAGTAACAACAAACAACACGGTGTAGTACCTAAACGGTTGCTATCAGAAAAAAATGCGCGTTCTTTGCTGCTATCTGAAAGTTGAGCGGTTGCTAGTGGAAAAAAATGGATGAAATTGTAAGTATTTTTCTTCGCTGGCTCAACAAAATGGTCAATAATTCAATTATTAAAGTTTAGCCGCTTGGTATTTCACCTTTACGGAACGTTACATACATTTTGATACTAACATGTATATTTAGAATTTTAATGAATTAAAGGATTGCTGAAATATAAGACGAAAAGTGTCGAAAGCGTTGGGCACATTTACATGCACGTAAGAAATATATTAAAATTGCGTCAGAAGTTTTAGATATTTGATAAAAATGAATCGACAGTTCGTTGTGTATTTGTAAATATTATTGGTTATTTTATATCATTGTCCAATTCGATGGGTTTCTGAAAAGCCAGAGCGTTTTTATTTGGAGAATCTTATGTTACGGCTACTATTAGACTACGGCACCGGTAACTATTGGAAAAGGTTTTTAAGTTTTTAAATCTCATGAAATCACATCCTCAAGTTACATATGCTATGCAATTATAGGTAAGAAAACTATATATATATTCTTTCTAAATAATTGACTTGTCATGTATGTTACTTTCGATCATATAATGAAAAATAATCGTATATTTATATGTATGATGTAAATAGTGGAGTTTGTATGTACATGTACATGAACCCTGTACACATAGGCTGTGCAACAGGGGGAGGCTAGGCCTTCCCACTTTTTTTTGCAAAGATACATGTAGACATAATATATGCACTGAAAACTTATGCTAAATAAATCTTTTTTTTATATTGGTGTGTCCCCCCTCCCTTGAAAACGTGGACAATAACGTATGTTCATATAGGAGCTTACATTTATTAAGATTTATGTACATCGGGTAAAGAACGTTGAAGGTAAAAGGGGGGGTTAGGTCTGCTCCTTTTCCTCCATTTTTGTTAAGAGAATTTTCTGTGATTTAAAAAAATCTTTGCTGTAGTATTGTCAGAGACTCCCAGAGTCACATTAAGTTGAATTACAAGAAATTTGACAGTAAAAAGAAGTAGGAAACATCAATATAAAAACCACGCTTTCTTTCGTGGCGGGGGGGGAGGGGGGGCTTGTCTTTTCTTACCTATATAATTTAAAGAACTCTTAAGTCGATGTTTTGAATATTGCATGTTAGTCGTACAACGAACCAATGCATCACCGTACTTCGGAAAAGAAATATGGAATTAGAAATATTTGACAAATCTTATACTTTGACTTTTCTAGATATTATACATGTTTAAGTGTACATGTAGGCTACAAAAATCCCGAAAGACTCTAACTTAAGAAAGTTAAAAAAATGATTGTAAATGATTGTAAAAAAAAAAAAATTAAAATATATTATATGCTATTTCAAATTGATTTACGGGTCCTTTCGTAAAGCTTACTTTTTGATTTGTGTAGCAATGCTTTTCGAAGATCATCTCTACTTTGCAAAAATACATTTGAGTTACAGACGCGTGCCCTCCCCCCCCCCCCCCCCTTCCACATTTTGTTCCAAGCATAACCTTTACTTTCTAGAATGTTCATTGAAAGACCTAAAGACCTGTTAACTTTCTTCCAAGCATAACTCATTGACCCCCCCCCCCCCCTTTTTATTGCAGTATAGTCAAAGAAGGGTAGGCGGTAGCGCGTGAGAAAAAATTATTCAAAAGAAGTTTGAACATTTTCCTTTTTTCCATGTCAGCTTTTTTAAAATATAGATTTGAATTTTTCTCCACCCCCCCCCTTTTTCAAAATCGAAGTTACACCCCTGAGTTAAGTTGGTAAAAGTCAACTGCATATATACACATCTTATTTCATATGCAATTTGGGATGTTTAAAATGTATATTTTAGACATTTGCTGCCATAAGTTTGTTTCATATCTCTGTTAATAAGGAAAATTTTCAAATAGCAGCCGATGCGATGTTTTCAGTTATTAACCGGTGCAATATATGCTGAGACCCTGATAGCAACCGTAACTTTAAAAATCGTGTTTCATCCAAAAATCTCTTTCAAAATACACTTTTCAAATTTTTAAAATTATTTCTAAGTATTATTATAGATTGACGCATCTTCAAATACCAAAATACCCACAATCTGAATAATAGATGATTTAAAAAAGCATGAAAACTGGGTATTTATTGACTTAAAATTTGGTACAGGCTTCGGAAATTTTACTAATTCTAAATTATTAGAGGGCTATGCTTCAAATTACACATGATAACATCTATAGAAATACCTAACTTGTTCCGTGCACCCGGACTTTTCATAGACTATCTTGATTTGGGGTCATGATTTTACAGTTTTACAACTTGTTCCAAGAGTTTTCAACATATTTATTTCTGCTAGCAGCCGTACAATTTTCGAATAGCAACAATGAACGCAATTTTGTTCCGATAGCAGCCGTTTAGGTACTACACCGTGAACAAAGAAAGCATTTTATTGTTTAAATAACCCATACCATACTATTCTCGCATAGTGGTCTAAGGATTTATATAGCGTAAGCATACTATGCCGAAATAGTGCACGGCTTTATTTTCTGAATAAAATTCTCCTATGCACACACCGGGAATCGAACTCATGACCATGAGGTTGCCAGTCCGATGCCTTAACTATTACGCCACAGAGACGATCACTGATTGGGAGAATTTTATTAAATATATAAACTTAATTTATACAATTGACACAAGAAGGAGAAAATAGACAAATATTATTTGAAAACAGTTATATTTATTCTAAGGAATCTTAGATAAATGTGTACAACAAAGTTTCATACTAATTACATACAGATCGTTAGATGAATTGATATCATGGGGTCATTAAAACGCTTTTTTATATAGCGCTTGATTGAAGGATGTAAAAGAAAATTATCAATGAGAATCCACGTCTGTAAACAAATCAGTCTTACTAACAAAACAGAAAATAAAGATGAGTATCTTTGGGACAGAAAATTCTGACTTATTTAGAGAAAATACTAGTAACCAAAATAACTAAGCATGCAACTAATTTTAGCATGAAGATTTTGAATGTTGCAAGTGCGCTGAGTTACCACCATTATTTTCAGGAAAAAATCAAATGGATTACCGCATAAATAATAACAACAGTCAGCATAATAATAACAATAGTGTTGCATTATGCATGTACTATGCCTAAATAGTAGGCAGGGTTTGACACATAGTGCACTCGCCTCCGGCTCGTGCACCATGTGTCAAACCCTGCCTACTATTTAGGCATAGTACATGCATAATGCGCAACACTATTATAATTTTATAAAGAACAAAATGGATGGGAGACAGTGCTAGGAACAAACAATTTTCATTCCATAATGTCAACAAAAATTTATGATACCTAATAATTCACATCAAGAAGAATCAACTTCACTTTATTTAAGCAAGAGTTCATTTTTATTCTTGTTTTTTTAACTATACATTAATATTTTAATAGAATTTTTTAAAATGGGAAATGAATTGAGTCGCTAGCATGCATGATATCAGGCCATCCAGGAAGACTAGATCACACACCAGCAACTTAGGGTTTTATCCAGGTTGTCTATTGCTTATATGTATTCGGAACCTGTAGCTAGTTTATATTTATAATTTTTACTGTAAATCATGTTTTATTAATGAGAACTTTGTTTTCATCTAATTATGCAAGTCTGTCTGCCCATGAAAATTTTATTCTCTCGTGTATTCATATTACAAAAGATTATATACATTTAAAACAGAAACCACAGTTTGCAAAAAAACTTTTCCCACTAATAAATACCAAATAGTTTACTCAGGAAAATAAAGTGATCTTCGGTATTTTCAGTTAGAATGAGTCTGCATTTTTTGAAGTACAATAGAAAAATTGTCATAAAGCTTTTTTAAATTTGTTTGAAGGCTTTGTCTTATGGAAAAAAAAATGTGTTCACGTAATGCAACATTTCTAGGGTGACAGCATGACTGTTAGACTTGTAGAAACTTACTACCATAAAACTATTTTATAATATGCTATTATCTTTTTCAACTTTTAATGACTAGTTTAAAGTTGTAATTCATGTGGCCTGATATGATCTAAATAGATGAGAAAATTACTGTCAGATGAACTTAATTATTTTGCAGAATAACATATACCGGATAACATGATCAAATACCAGTCATTTGTTTCCATACTAATTGGTAATGTAAGCACTCTGGTACTACAGTATTCAAGTAACTGCTTATCAAGAAATATTAAATTCAGTAAATTCTATTGGATCATTTCCATTAATTGTGTTAAAATCTATAACATTCATTTAACCTCATTTACGAAAACAGATTTTCATTACAGCACTATTTTAAAAATATATGTACAAATCAATATCTGAATATTGTAATTAACACTTTTACATGCTACAATGTAGCAGTAAATTTATATGGTAAAGCTTTCAGTTAATTTAAGTCTGAATAACATAATTGTGAATTTCTTGTATAAATATAAAAATAATCATCAGCACTTTGAAATCCGAGTTTTTTCTATATTCATATAAAATAAATTTCAGTTTGGTAACTCTATATCTATGTGGTGTACCATGCATTCAAGTGAAAGTGGTCTGTCTTTTAGCAACTATAAACTTTAATGCACTCAAAGAATGCACATTATGTGCATAAGAGGCACAGCAAAAAAATATATAATGCTTACTGTTGAGGCAGCTGAAGAAATTGATGATGCAGTAGACAAATGGTTAGAATTTGGAATTTCTGATGTTTGATCAGTGCTAGAACTGCTGCTGCTGTAACTTTGGGATTTAGGAACACTATCTGACCCTTGACCTCTGGGGTCACTTGATGACCCTGACCTGCTCGAGGGGAGAGATTCTTGTCTAGAAGAATCTGTACTGACATTCTCTGGTCTGAATTTCTTTTTTAACACAAGAATTTTCTCTCCTCTCTGAAAATATAACCATGTGTATATTTATAGAACTTAAGAATTATTTTGCTATTTAAACAAATTAAAAGTATATTTTGTGAAAGCAAGTTTAATTTTTACTCATTTACATTTTCAAGTTCTTTTTTACTTTGAGACTGAATACTGTTCGTTATCTCCATATCCTTCTTTTCTTAAAATACAAAGAATACAATGACTAGCTATGTTAGGTTCGAAGTTTTTTTCTTTCTTTTTTCTTATTGACAACACCGATTTAGTCTTCAAAGACTAGGTCTTCCAACAAACTATTGGAATTCTACTAGACACTAATTGTGCTGCTTATAAGCCGACCTTTTTTAATACTTCTATGAAGCAGTATTTATACAGAAACTCCTACCTGAGGAGAAGAAAAAGCTTGTGTCAACTTCACATTAAAATATATATTAACTTTGTTAATTTTTCAAGGGTCTGTTTTATGTACTATTTACAGATTTGTATTAGTGATATAGTTTTTCTACATTGATCACTTGTTTATTATCTTTAATTTTTTCTTTGATAAACAATTCAGATGCATTGTGTATGTACCTCATCAGTTTTTATCCCAGCCAAGGTATTGACAAACTCTTTGAACTTCTCTCTGTTAAACTTTTGAGCTGCAAAACACAAATCTCTGTTAAATGAACCATTTATTGCCAATACATGTACAGTTGTTCAGTAATCCATCTTGAATAGCATCTGTAACTTTAAATCCTTTTGTTTATTTTTCACTGCTGATCTTCATTCTAGATATTTCATATCCAAAATTACCAATCAATAAAAGACTGTTCATAACAATTTTCTATATCACCCAAGAAAAAGATTATTGAATGGGTTGTATAGATTAAACAGCTGTATACAGGTCCAGCAGAACTTTTCGATTTAGCTATATACATGTACTGTAGATAACATAATTTTAATGACACCTTATTTTCTCGAAATTTTTACAAATTGTGGTTACTGCTCTAGACTACATAATTTTAAGGAATACTGATACATGTATATCATATATGTGAGAATGATAATTTTGCGAGCAAACTGTCTCCAAAAATTACTTGAAAATAAGATTCTCACATATAAATTAAAAAGCGATTTAAACTAGCTTGATTTAGAAATAGGCAAAAAGGGTCAAGTATTTGAATATTTATTATTATACGTACTAGAGACTTTCAAAATGTAAAAATTATCAAAGATACTTCTAATGTTGCAGCTTTTGATTCCTTTATAATTCCATACAAGGAGTAGCTTGTGGTCACAAATCAATTCCTTTATACTGCCCCAAAACTTGGTGATCAGAGTGATATATCATACCTCCTCTTTTTATAAGTGCACCAGGTACTGTAGATCACTTAATTTTCATGACACTTTATTTTCGCGAGATAGACATTGATTCTTGATAAGCAAGATAAAATTTTCAGGGAATTGTGGTTATTGCTCTATATGATCCTAAGGAATACTATTGTATGCGAGAATTAAATTTTCACGAGCACACTGTCTCGCGATAAAAAGTGATTTACAGTATGCGATTACTTTTTACCCCCCTCACCCCTCGACATAAGTTCCAAACAAATAAAAAATTCAAAGGAAATAGTTTTTTTAATGGTTCAATATTAATATTATTATTGTGGTAACAAAATGATTGCTTTTAATTTAGCATGATTTATTCAGTGCAGAGCCCTTGAATACATTAAGTCAATGCATGGCGATGGCCAGTGGCAGAAAGTTTTGAAAAGAGGAGAGTAATTGTTGATTGCCTCTATATTTCAATTTGAAACTTTTGAAGCAGTGGAATTTGAGAGCAATCAGTTTTTGTCTAAGTTCTATATACATGTATGGCGGGGGTATACATACATGATATATATCACTCTGATCAATCATATACCAGCTTATTGAAAGAAATTTGGAGGCCTGTGACTTAAACACTACTGCTCCAAGGCAAGGTGGGACTTTTTGAATATGCTGCAAAAAGATATGTAATAAAACAGTTAAATGAAGCTATTCATTACAGCTTAATAAAGCTTCATTTAGGTAATTCAAACTATAGGCATATAGCTCAATCAAAAGATTGTAACTTGAACCTGGTATAGTCAATCAATATTTACAGAATAAAACACGTACAGATGTAAGCAAATAAAAATCAATATATCACAAAGGAAGTTAACATAAAAAAATAGATTCACATACGGAAATATTACATGCATATTTTTACTGTGTTTGTTTAGCACACTAACTTTACAAATGTAAACACATAGAAAGAGATAGAGTTTAAAGTAAATAAACAAAACATTACTTCATAAACAAATGAAATGTGTTAAATAATGACTCACTTTTTTCATCAGGATCATTCAAATAACTTTTGAAGTGTGTTACTAGTTCGTGGTTAGTAACTTTACAATCATTATCAATCATAAATTTCTTGACAGCTTCCAAACAAAACCCGGAAGCTGCCATTTTTTAGAAAGAAAGTGAAAGTAAACTAAAAGAATAGTATGAATTCGTCAAGCTGAACATTTCCGGATTACAAAATACATAGTCTTGTTTATGTGTATCAGGATGTATTGATAGTATTGATCAGATGCAATTTGTTCATTAATTATTGAAATATATATAAAGAGACCAGGCCAGATACCTCTGCCCATTCGCCAAGAGATATAGATCGCATGCCATCTGCTTGATCACTAGATCCTGTACATCATCACTACGTACATGTACGGTGTACCAGAAATCCTCTTGCACCAAAGTTCATTAATTAAGCCGCTGATTTGATAGACGGACTTAATCTTCTTCTTTTTTTAAATCCCCTTAAAAATTATTGCTTGATTGTTTTAAAATGCAGATTGAAAACCTAGAAGTTTTTTTTTAAACAAACCAAAAGGGGGGATAGGAAAAAAGAAAGAATTGAAAAAGAATAATTATCATTTCTGTACAGATTTGTAATATTGATAAAACAAATAAATTGTAGATGTAAGTTTCTATTGTGTTAATTTTTTTTTTAATGGATAAAGAGAATACTATCTAGACTATAGCATTTGTTTCATATCCTTATGAATTTGTTAATAAGAATAATAACTTTGCAATGTTGCCAATAGTCCGAAATGTCTGACGTTTTCCAGGATTTTCCCCGATTTTAATTTTTTACATGCCAGGACAAAACGTAAATCGTAAAAATAAAAAAAAAGTCAGATATTTCGGACTATATGTTGTCAAATGATGTCATTTTCTGAAATGATTCTTTTATTGTTATTATTCTGGTAATGAACCTGATTACATAAAAGGAGATAATACCTCACACATTCCAATTAAAGAAGACTTTTATAATGTAGATATAGCAGTTGGGGATAGGAAAAATAGAGATATCACATTAGATAATAGAGGTAAAGACTTGTTAGAAATGTGTATAGCAAATAAGATGAGAATAGTTAACGGTAGAATTTTTGGTGATTCATATGGAAAATTTACTTGCCATAACTATGCAGGTTCAAGTGTTGTCGATTACTTTATTGTAACAGAGAAATTACTTGACGATATTATGTACTTTCATGTATATGATTTTTTACCATTCTCTGATTGTCATTGTAAAATTTCACTAAAAATACTATCATCTTTTACAAGGGAGATAAATAACAATAATCTTCAAGAAATGCCTATTCGTTACAAATGGAACAGTTCACTAATAAGCCACTACCAGAACTTTTTTACACACCCTATTATCCAACAAGACATACAAACCTTTTTAAATAAAGATATACAAATGAATGAAAAGGAAATTAATGAAGCTACAAATGATATCCATAACATTTTTGAAAAAGTAGCAAAATTATCACTAAATAAGAAGGTTCATAAAAATAAACAAGTTAACAAAAAATGGTTTGATTCAGATCTTTGGAAAATGAAGAAACAACTTGGTGAAAAGGCTATCTTAATATCTAAATTTCCTAACAACCCTTTCATACGAGGGTCTTATTTCAAAGCTAAAAAAGTGTATGCTAAATTAAATAAATACAAAAAACGACAGTTTGTTCAAAATATTTTCGACAAGTTAGATCAACTAAAGGAAAATAATCCTAAAGAATACTGGAATTTAGTCGCATCAATCAGAGAAGCCAAAGAGGGGAATAAGGAAAAAACTGAGAAATGTATTGAACCAGATATGTGGCATAACTACTTTAGTACCCTGTTTAAACTGCCTAATAAGCATTCAGAGAGACTACAAATTATTCAAAATAAAATTAAGGAACTTGAAAATGGACCAAACTTTATATCGTTTAGTAAACTAGACTTTAAAATCTCTTTAAAGGAATTACAAAAATCTTTGTCTAGTATAAAATCTGATAAAAGCCCTGGCCTGGATAATATTACCAACGAAATGTTGAGAGTAGCACAAATTTACATGAATCCTTGTATTCTAAAATTGTTTAACAATGTCTTCACTTCCGGAATTTATCCCAGAAAATGGGTAGAAGGTTATATAACACCTATTTTTAAATCAGAAAATCCCCGATTACCCCAAAATTATAGAGGCATAACCATTACCAACAGTATTGGCAAACTTTTCAATATAATACTTAACAATAGATTAGATAATTTTTTATCGGAAAATAACATCATTCACGAAAGCCAAATAGGATTTTCAAAAAAAGCTAGAACTTCGGATCATTTATTTGTAATGAAATGTCTGATCGACAAATACACCAACAAAGGTAATAAACGTTTGTATGCTTGCTTCGTTGACTTCCATAAAGCATTTGATACAATAATACACGAAGGCATAAAACTTAAACTTCTTCAATTGAATATAAATGGACTATTCTACAAAATAATATGCAGTATGTACAAATACAGTTATATCTCGATTAAAATTGATAATAAATTAACCCAACCTTTCTCACCTGAACTAGGAGTAAGACAAGGTGATGTCTTAAGCCCGAATATATTCAAAATATTCTTAAATGATCTCGCAAATTTACTAAATGAAGATGTTGTTAACTCAGTCTCACTTTTCAAAAAGCAAATAGGAGCTTTATTATATGCAGACGATTTAGTATTATTATCTGACAACCAGCTAGCCCTGCAACAAAAACTTGATATGTTATACAAATATTGTAAAGAATGGTGTTTGGAAATCAATGTTAACAAAACAAAAGTAATTATTTTCAACAGAAGTGGGCATTTATTAAAAGAAACATTTTCAATTAATGGTATTAATATAGAATGTGTAAAAACGTATAAATACCTAGGTATAATACTCTCAAATTCTGGTTCTTTCAAAGAAGCAAGGTGTAATTTATATAACAAAGCTTTAAAGTCATCATTTAAAATATACAAAGATATAAAATCAACAGATCCACCCATTAAAACTTTACTTCATCTATTTGATCACATGATCAAGCCAATAGCTACCTATGGATCCGAAATATGGGGTGTATTGTCATCATCAATGCAAAGAAAAGAAAAATGTTTATTTGATATATTTAAAGATTGGGAGATTGAAAATCTTCATATGAAATTTTGCAAATTTATCATAGGGTCTGGGAAAAGAAGTACCAATATTGCAGTTCTCTCTGAACTGGGTAGACAACCAATATTTTATTCTATTATTATAGCAATTATATCTTACTGGCACAGACTGGAAAACATGCCTGAAAACTCTTTGTTATACAGTGCATACAAAGAAAGCATTATCTTGGACAGTTGTAATGTAAATAGTTGGTTTTCAAATGTAACATATTTCTGTAACAGAATGGGCATAGATTTGTCAAGATGTAAATCAATGAAACTAATAACTTTAAAGAAACATCTGAAAAAAATTATTAGAGAAGATTTCCTTCAATATTGGTTTAAACAAAGAGATGATGGTTGTCTATCGGGTAAACTTACAACATATTTCTATATAAAAAGAAGTTTTGAAATTGAAAAGTATTTATTATTAAAAAATTTTGAACAAAGAAAAATTATATGCAAATTTAGAGTGAGTTCACATAACCTCAGAATAGAAAGTGGAAGGTACGAAAAAAAACTAAACTCTGCTGGAGAGCAAACCACCCTTGCAAGAAATGAAAGAATTTGTAGAATGTGCGACATGAACTGTGTGGAAGATGAGATACACTCACTGATTGAATGTCCATTATATAAGCATGATAGAGATGACTTTTTTTAATATTATTGCTAAAAGTAATAAAAATTTCTATACTTTAACAAATAAAGAAAAATTTTTATGGATTATGTCTAATGAAGATGACATGTTGCTTATCAAGCTGGGTAATTTTTTAATCAATATCTTTAAAATAAGAAATAGCAAATTATGCAATGTTAAACAAAGAAACAAATAAATACAAAAGAGTAATATATAGAAATACTTTAAACAAACTTTTATTTACAGTATATTGATTATGTATGTTGTAATCCCCAACTGCTGTAACATCATTTATCTTTTGTTAGTTACTGCTATCAATTTTGAATTTCTGCTTGTATGTTTTTTTTTTCCTTATTACTTGTATGCCCTGATGGGCCCCAAATTGGTATTAATAAATCTTATCTTATCTTATCTTATTGTTTGTTTGCTTCGAGACTTTGTATTTAATAGTTAACCTTGGTGTATATTCAAATGATTCACATATAGTAAAACTGCAGATCTGAAGCTAGCTGGAAAAAATCAAGATGGACGACCAGAGAGCCAATCAGATTGACCAGAGAGCTATATGCCACCCATAGAAAAAAATTGGATAGGTATTGCACGCAAATAATAAGTGCGCTGTATTTCGATCATATATTTCTCCGTATATTTTACTTCCACAATGAAAAATTTGCAAAAAGTTTATGAACCTGTAGATCTATCATGTACGGAGTCACAGAATTGATAATAGATCAGAAAACCTTTGAAATGGTCATGTATAGGTATGGTGTTAGGGGCACTTACACGTGAAGGCCGTGAGTTGAGGGTTGCGTGGTTTTCTTTTTCTTCAAAGACAACCTATATGTGCATTTAAATAACCTATCATTTTCGTTGAATTAAATATTGAGCTAAATATTTATATCGTTAGAGAGCTTCCATATTGTCCTAGTGTAAAAGTAAGCAGTCAACTGTAAAAGTCAGCGCTTCTCGAAAAAGTCCATTAACCCTCCTGGGAATGAAAATGAAACAATTGAAAATTTCGCTTGATAACGGCCATTTGAGTGTCATGCAAGACAATTCGGTTCAACGCGCTTCGGACATGACTGGTTCATAAATTCAGCTTTGTTATGGAAGTAGTAAGAAAATAAGTAAGAACACGTGGTTAGTAGTATTTTGATACATAAGGAGAAATTATATAAAAACATTGCAATATCTCAACAAAAAGAAGTAGTTATTTTTGTTAAATTATACTTTCATGTAAATTACTCGAATCTGATTCGTCGAGAAACATTTGATAAAAAACACTACTACCCGCTGAATAATGAAGCCACGCCCTCCTGCCTAGCA